CCTTTCTTCTTTATTTATATTTAATTTCATAGGCCAGCAGATTTTTTTTGTGAGAATATTCAGTTTCTTTTTTCTTTTTTGTAGATCAGTTTGGGAGTCCTTTTCTTTTTGTAGGATGATTCAGGATTTTTTTCTTTTTTTAGGTCAGTTCAAATTTTTTTGTTTTTTTGTATGTTGGGTTCAGATTCTTTTCTTTTTGTAGGTTGTTTCAGTTTTGTTGCTTCAGAGTCTTCTTTTTTTGTAGGTCAGTTTTGGATTTATTTTGTTGTTTTGGTTTCTTTTTCATTATAAATTTAATTGCCGATCAAATTATTGTGTTTCTTCTGTGTATTTTAACTAGTCTTTTTTGATAATTTTGTTGCCGATCTTGAAATCATTGCAATATAAAATAAAGTTTCCCCACTTTTTTTTTCATTTTTTTTCTTTTCCTTTATCATTTTTTAGTAAATTTTACATACGAATTAATAACATATTTTTTTGTTTAAAAAATTATTTATTAAAATGGATGAACTTAAATTAAGTGATGATGTAATTAAACAAATTGACCACCGGTATTGGAAAATGACTGAAGTACAAGAATGTTATGTACAATATGGTTTATGCAAAAAATGTAACCAGCCTAAAAGAAATTATTGGTATTGCAATTATTGTCATTTTCAACCAAATTTCAAAAATTGGACAAGTGGAAATCATGACGTTGATGAATTTATTCAAATAGCACAATTAAAAGCTAGAAAAGTAAAACAAATTATAGAGTGGATTGAATATGATAAATTTGAAGATGTTGAATATTTAGCAAAAGGGGGATTTGGAACTACTTTTAAAGCAGTTTGGAAAGATGGTCCTTGGAAAACAAAATATATAAATGATCCATGGGAAAGAAAAGGTGAAACAAAAGTCGCTTTAAAGTGCTTACATAACTCACAAGATATTGCAACAGATTTTTTAAAAGAAGTAAGATATTTTTTATAAATCTTTATTAACCCTTATAAGTGTTAAACTTACTATAATTTTCTTTTAAGGTTGAATCAAATATTTTAGTATATTCTTCTGGTTGGACAGTTCGTTGTTATGGTATTACCAAAGATCCGAAAACAAGTAATTTTATTATGGTTATGGGATTAAAAAAAGGTGGTTTAAGACAATATTTAAATAATAATTTCGTTTCACTGAATTGGAAACAAAAGTTGTTTAGTTTACAAGGTCTTGCATATGGTCTTAGAGAAATTCATGATAGAGGATTAATTCATCATGATTTTCATAGTGGTAATATATTAAGCAATTTTGATCATGGCGCTTTTATTACTGATTTGGGATTATGTCAACCGGCAAATGTTAAATCCTCTCAAAATAGTAATAAAAAAATATATGGGGTATTACCTTATGTAGCCCCAGAAATTTTAAAAGGAAAAGAATATACTCAAGCAAGTGATATTTATGGATATGGAATTATTGCATATGAAATTTGTACAGGTTTCCCTCCTTATTATGATATAGCTCATGATGAATTCTTAGCAATGAAAATTTGTAATGGGTTGAGGCCAAAATCTAATTATAAAATACCTCAACTAATTGCTGATAAAATTAATCAATGTTGGGATGCAGATCCTTTAAAACGACCTAATGCAGATGAAATACAGAAGTTCATGTCAGAATTATATTTTGATGTTGAAAAAAATAAAGTGGATTCTGTAATTTATGGGCAAGTTAAAGAGGCAGATGAAATTAATAAAAAGTCATCTTTTTCATCACCTTTAATATCTACTGGTACTATATCATATATGACACATCCTCAAGCAGTTTACACAAGTAGGCTTTTAGATTTTAAAAATCTTCCAGAACCTAAAAATGTTGACAATGATGATTTAGAATATTTAGGTAATTTTAATTCAAAATAATTATTTAAATATATTTAGAGTAATATTTATTCATTTATTTACATGTTCCTTAAGAATCGATTTTACTAAGCTTGATATTAACTCCGAAAGTGATTGCATGTGATTTTTTTTTTTTTTTGATCTATCAAATTTTAATTAAATTGTTTTTTTTTTAATTATAGATAAAATTAATTAAAACATATTTTACTCTAAACGAAAATATTTAGTATTTAAATAAAAATAAGATTATATCTGCTATAATTTTTTTATTTTAAACTTGAGGATAATATTTAATATTATCTTGGAACATTTGATGTAAATATATTAAGCGCTCATATTTATCAATTATTCGTAACTGAAAAATTGAAGTAATAAAATTTAAAATTGTTTTTTTATTAATAAATTTTGTTATATTAAATTATCTATAATTAAATAATTATCATGGTTGATATTAAGTTTAATGTAAAAATCAATTTGCAAAATATGTATAATAATACACATATTAAAAGTTCATAATTATATTAAGTATTTTATAGACCATGACACCTGATCTATTTATAGTATTCGATCCAATCAATTAATCTAATTTCAGTTAATAAAATTTTACCTTAATCGGAATTTTTTTTTGATTATTTTTTTTTGTCCGATTTTTTTTTTAAAAAAAAATTTTTCCCTTTCTTCTTTCAGTTTAGTTTTTTTTCAAAACTGAAAATTTTGTTTTTTCTCATTCTTTATCCCATTGTTTGACCAATTTTTTTTTACATTATTTTTTTTTTTTATCTTTTTTTAGCTTTATATTAAAACTCGTCGTCGTTACTAATAATACTTACGAACGTTTTATTTATTTTTGTTATTACTTAAAATTTAATCTTACCTATTATGAGAATTTAAATAAAAATCGTAATTTTCCATAATTGAATAAATTTAATTGCCGATCAGATTATTGTGTTTCTTCTGTTTATTTTAACTAGTCTTTTTTTGATAATTTTGTTGCCGATCTTGAAATCAATTGCAACATAAAATAACGTTTCACCACTTTTTTTTTCATTTAATAAATCCATTTAAGCTTTTAAGTATTATAAGGTAACTTTAATTTTTATTAATTTAAGTGGATTTTGATTTGCATATTTATTATCTTGTTCATTTTTTTCATTTTTTCTTTTTCCTTTATTATTTTTTAGTGATTTTTATATACGAATTAATAACATAATTTTTTATTTAAAAACTTATTTATTAAAATGGATGAAATTAAACTAAGTGATGATGTATTTGAACAAATAAAAGACTTCAACTATTGGAATTTGACTAAAGAACAAGAATCGTTAATTGATAAACTAATAACAGACAAAGAATTAAAAGGATGTTATGAAAAATATGGTTTATGTAAAGAATGTAAGCAGCTTAATACTGATCATTTTTATTGTTGGTCATGTAAATCACAATATTTTAAACAAAATTTCAAAAATTGGACAAGCGGAAATCATGACGTTGATGAATTTATTCAAAAAGCACAATTAAAAGCTAGGATTGTGAATAAAATCATAGAATGGATTGAATATGATAAATTTGATGATGTTGAATATTTAGCAAAAGGGGGATTTGGAACTACTTTTAAAGCAGTTTGGATAGATGGTCCTATTTGGGGTTGGGATTATTACAATAATCAATGGAAAAGAGATGATGAAGCAGAAGTTGCTTTAAAGTGCTTACATAATTCACTAGATATTGCAGCAGATTTTTTAAAAGAAGTAAGATATTTTCTACTGATTTTAGTATTATTATCCTTTATAATTTCTAAACTAACTATAATTTTCTTTTTAAGGTTGAATCAAATATTTTAGTATATGATTCTGGTGTGACAGTTCGTTGTTTTGGTATTACCAAAGATCCAAAAACAAATAATTTTATAATGGTGATGGATTTAAAAAAAGGTGGTTTAAGACAATATTTAAATTACAATTTTATTTCACTGAATTGGAAGCAAAAGGTGGAGAATTTATGTAATATTACATTTGGTCTTAGAGATATTCATAATAAAGGATTTATTCATCATGATTTTCATTGTGGAAATATATTAAGTGATTTTAATGATGTTTCTTTTGTTACTGATTTGGGATTATGTCAACCGACAAATATCAAATTCTCCCAAACTAGTAATAAAAAAATATATGGAGTACTACCTTATGTAGCACCAGAAGTTTTAAGAGGAAAAGAATATACTCAAAAAAGCGATATTTATGGATTTGGAATCATTGCATATGAAATTTGTACAGGTTTCCCTCCTTATCATGATATACCTCATGATGAATTCTTAGCAATGAAAATTTGTAAAGGTTTGAGGCCAAAGTCTAATTATAAAACCCCTCAACTAATTGTTAGCACAATTAATCAATGTTGGGATGCAGACCCTTTAAAACGACCTAATGCAAATGAATTACATAATTTAATTCATGATTTATGGATTGCTTTTATTAATGATAAAAATGTGGATTCTATAATTCATGAGGAAGCTAAAGAAGCAGATGAAATTAATAAAAAGACATTTTTTCCAGTTCAATTACCATTATCATCTACTAGTACACTCTCATATATAACACATCCTCAAGCAGTTTACACAAGTAGACTTTTAGATTTTAAAAATCTTCCAGAACCTAAAAATGCAGACAAAAATGATGATTTAGAATATTCAGGTAAACATATATATTTTTCTATAATGATTTAAATTAGTTTTATAATGCTAACGACTAATATTTATAGATTCTTTAAAAATGGATTTTGCTAAACTTGATATTAATTCTAAAGGTGATTACTTTTGCATGTGATTTTTTTGATTTATCAAATTTTATTTAACAATTTTTCTATTTTAGATGAAAGTAGTTAAATACAGTTACTTTAAAATGAAAATATTCAAAATATAAAATACTTATCCATTTTTTTGTTTATTTTTTATTTATTTTATTATGAATTTGGTAAGAGATCAAGGATAATGTTATTAATGTTATTCTAGGACGTTTAATGGAAATATAGTAAAACTCATATCAACTATTCATGTTCGAAAAATTAAGGGTTAATATTGTAATAAAATTTAAAATTATTTTTTTATTTATGAATAAATGTCACTAATATTTCAATTGTATAAATAAGTATCACGGTTGTATTGATAAACAAGGAACTAAGCTTTCTGTAAAAAATTACTTCTCAGTGATGCCTTTATTACAGTAAATACATACTATATTAAATATGGCTTGATAAATCATTTTGTATGTACGTTGTATTAGATATATCATATGATTAGTTGTTTTTGCTTTATCATATAAATTGTGGATAAACGTGAAATAAAAAATCATTTTTTGTAAATATTCTTTGCACAATAAAAAGTATAAAAGAGATTAATATATTTTGAAGTTAATAATCATTTTCAAAAATTGATCATTTTATTTTCACATTGTCCTACTATCTGTTGTTGTTCATTAAAGTGAAATACAAGAATGAATATAAAAATATATAATATCATGCAGATCTCGCACATTCAACATTTCTCGTCTCATTATAAACATTTTTATATTTTAAATTTTGATTTATTTATTAAATTGATTGATCTTTAACAAGCAATTATTGATGTTTCAAAAGTGGCTGAAGAGGTGTTAAATTTTTATAACAGAAAGAGGAAAAGTTTAGAGTTTTATATTTTAACTCAATATATGAAACTATCTATCCTGAAAACATTTGAAAATTATTACTGATACTCATTCATTCATAATAAAAAATTCTGAAAATGAGTTTTGTTGATTTCTTATTCATTTAAAATTATTTAGTACTGTTCTTGGATAGTTAAAGTTGCAAACCAGTTGTTATAATTGTTAAAAGTAATAAATGACCTATGTTTGATTAAAGTTAAAATTCACTTTTTGCACAATACGCATTTGATATAAATACATTCCAAAATTGTTTTCATTATAGAATAATGACAAAATACAGAAATTTTTAAATAAAAAAAATTTCTAGTGTAATCTCTCTTTCTAACGTGAAATACTTTATCATTATATACACATTCATTCAATTAATTTTTTTACGTATTGCCATAATGATAAGTAAACAGAAACAGAAATGACAGTTAACATAGCCACTAATCTTCCTTTTACTCTATTATAAACAAATACTTAACAGAGAATTATGATAACTAATAATATGGATTTCAGTCCATAATTATGCTTTAAATAGATTAGTAGAGTAAGCAAAGGAGATAAATAGTATTGTTAATTAAAAGAGTAGTAAGAGCAATAAAGGAAAATGGAATTTTATTCTCGAACATGTTAAAAGAATATTTACGTCAACCGTATGAATTTTACGTCAAGTGATGTCAATGACGCAACACAATATGGCATGTGTCAATAATCAAATGTCTGTACCTTTAAGTATGCGACTCAAACTAAAAGAAAAAAATTTATAGTGTCTTTTTATTTATAACAAAGAATTTTTAAATAAAATAGTTACTTTTATAAAAATATAAAAATTTAGTTGTGCTATTCCAATTTTTTAAAATTTTGTTGAAAAATATAATAACTAAACCAATTTTTACGGATCTCCTATAACAATTATTTTTTAGTTAAATCTCAATGTTTAAAATTTCTTATCATTGATATCATTGTCTTCTATTTATAAGGAGAAATACAAAAATAAGTATTTACCAAAAGTAGTTTAGTTCAGAAGGATTATCTGAAGTAAGTTGTCATTTACAACAATTATTACTTTTCTATTATTATATAAAATTTCTCATACAAGATTGAGTTTTTTGTAATGTCAATCTAGTACTAATTTCATTGAATTGTTGAAAGTGCATCTATAATGGAATTATTAACTTTGTATTGGAATCATTATCAATAACAAGGACTCAGTTAGCCATAAAGAAACAATATTGAATGGTTGGTTGAAAGTATTCATTTAATTATTTATTTCAAATTACTTGGTCTCAATAATTTATAGTCATTTTAGATAATTTATTGTATATACCATTGAATTTTTTTTTTTACTATTTATTAATAATACATTAAATAGAAAGTTTTTTTGAAATTCCATTCCACATAAAGAAAATTAGGCATGTTACCCTTATGGTATATATTTTTCATATAGTATGTGAATCCATAACTTCTTTTTCGAACTCTCTATTCGACCCTTAACTCTCTATATTTCATTAAAAAATTTTCTAAAGTCTTGAGATGATTGTAATATCCAATATTGATACCATGATCCATTGATTTGTCCTAATCATAATAAAATAAAACGGTTGTGAAATGCAATATCAAAAATAAAATTAACATCTAATAAATAGTGAAGGTTTACATATCTTGGAATAAAAAATGTGTCATAAGTCTTAATTTGCAAACATAAAAGGTAAATGCTTAATTTCTCCCGTATTATAAAACCCTTCCAACATAATAAATTATAGTAAAAAAATCCATTAAAAGATAAGTATATATTATTATATTCAAAAAGATAAATTTATTAAAAGCGAGAGGAATTTCCTCCCCTATAAAAAATTATTTTAAAATAATTTCATTGGCTAATTAAAAAAGACTAACCTGTTACTAACGCTAACCGTTAAAAAAAAAAAAGAAAAACCTTTTTAGCTATTTTGACGTGTGCGCTGTATTATGAAGATCAAAATAACGTCACACATGAAATTGGCGGCGTTAATCACGCTAATCATTGCCCAGTCGGCGTAATATTTTTACCATTTTCCGGTACAATAATAAAAGTACGTTATCCGCTTAATTTTTCTTTTTTTTTCATTTTATAATTTTATAATTTTTTAACATAAAATTTATAATAACATCAAATAAAAATTCATTAAAATGAAAGAAACTAAACTCAGTGATGATGTATTTGAGCAAATAAAAGATTTTGTCCGTTGGAAATTAACTGAAGAACAAAAATCTTTACTTAATAAACTTATATTAAATGAGGAATTAAAAAATTGTTATTTAAAATATGGTCTTTGTGAAGAATGTAAACAGCCTGAGAGTTATTATGATTGGTGTTATTATTGTAAATCTAAATGTTTTAAACAAAATTTCAAGAATTGGACTAGTGGAAATCATGTTGTTGATAAATTTATCCAAGTACAATTAAAAGCTAAAAATAAGACTCAAGTTTTAGAATGGATTGAATATGATAGATTTGGAGATATTGAATATTTGGCCAAGGGAGGATTTGGAACTACTTTTAAAACAATTTGGAAAGATGGTTATATTTCTGATTGGAACTCTAATAATAATCAATGGGATAGGTCAGGAGAAGAAAATGTTGCTTTAAAATGCTTGCATAATTCACAAGACATTACGACCGAATTTTTAAGAGAAGTAAGACATTTTGTATTTGATACCCTTTATTATAAAACTATTACTAATTATTTAACTTTTTTTCAGGTTGAATCAAATATTTTAGTAAGTAGCGTCGATGGTTGTATAGTTCGTTGTTTTGGTATTACTAAAGAACCAAAAACAAATAATTTTATGATGGTAATGGAATTAAAAGAAGGTAACTTAAGACAATATTTAAATGACAATTTTACTTTATTTAATTGGGAACAAAAGTTGCTTAATATAGGTAGAATTGCTAATGGTCTTAAAGAAATTCATGATAAAGGATTAATTCATCGTGATTTTCATTGTGGTAATATATTAAGAGATCATCATAATGAAGCTTTTATTACTGATTTGGGGTTATGTCAACCAGCAAGTACAGAACCTTATCAGAGTGATAATAAGAAAATATATGGAGTGCTACCTTATGTGGCTCCAGAAGTTTTAAGAAGAAAAGAATATACACAAGCGAGTGATATTTATGGATTTGGAATTATTGCATATGAAATCTGTACAGGTTTACCTCCCTATCATGATATAGCTCATGATGAATTTTTAGCAATGAAAGTCTGTCAAGGGTTAAGACCAAAAGTCAATTATAAAATTCCTCAAATAATTTTTGACATAATTAATAAATGTTGGAATGCTGAACCATCAAAACGGCCTGAAATAAAAGAATTATATAAATTATTATGGGATATAAATTTAGTAGATGTTATTAAAGAAGATTCTATAATTTATAAGCAAATCAAAGAAGCAGAAGAAATAAACAAGAAGTTACCTTCAACAGTACAATCATCTTCATTATCCACTAGTAATTTCTCATATACAACACATCCTAAAGCAGTTTATACAAGCAGGCTTTTAGATTTTAAAAACCTTCCAGAACCAAAAAATGCTAATATTGATTATAGTAGTAATTCTTTTGAAACGGAATATTCAGGTAAGCTATATAATTTTTTTAATTTCTTTTTTAATTTATACTTTGATAAAAATATTTTTTTTTTTTTAATAGAATCTATAAGGATGGATTTTACCAAACTCGATATTAATTCTAAAGGTGATTAATTTGGTTTATACAGCAGTAAATATATTTGATTTATTAAATTAGTAATTTACATTAATTCATTTAATAGATAAAAGAATTGATTAAATAAGTGTAAATATTCTGAATATTATGCTCGTTATTATAATCCAATCTATGAGTATAGAATTAAAACTCTTTTGATGATAAAGTTGCATTTAATTCCTTGATTACAAATGTAATTTTAATTAATAAAGTATAATTATTATTATGTGCAAATTGCTCTAAGTACCCGTTGGTTTATCACGTTGTTTTACTAAATTATGCACTTGCATGATGAATATTAATCTTTTTTACTATTATTACTTCTTTTTAATTATAATATAATATAATCGGATAAATTATTCATAAATTTTTAGATTATCGTTATTATCACCCATTAATTCAATTTTGGATTATGGTTAGTAATAAAATGAATCCACTGGATATAGCGAAGCTATGAAATGGGCTATATGATATAGTTTCACAATCTATTACATAAATTCATTACATTACGCAAATGTTAACTATAATGAATAATATTATACGTTTCTATTGCAATAAGTAATTGTTATCGGTCATGTTGTAGATGATAACTGATTTACACTAGGATGCTACTCTATCATGTGGCCTTCGGCCATATGATATACATAGCAATCCTAGTGGTAAATCAGTTATCATCTACAACATGACCGATAACAATTACTTATCAATTTACTTTAAAAAAAAAATTTTATCATACTCACATGTTGATCAAGAAACTCAAATTCATTGATCAATGTGGTAGTAAATATTAATTGATCCTACTTTTTCAATAATTATCCTTTACAAAATTCTGATATAAAACTGATCCTAAATTATATAGACTCCTGAGTTAAGAGTATAAGAGTATAGAAATAAAAAATAACAAAATAAAAATAACATTTAAATAAATAAAGCCGATTACAGATAATACTTTGTCCCAGTTTCAATTAACTATATAATGATTTGCATCAGGTCGCTGATATTTTAAATTGTAAAGTTTCCATAAGAGGCAGATCACAACAATTGTCAATAATTCATGAATAATGTGCTTGATTCTGCGAAGACGATCTATGAAATTTTTTAAATTAGCAAATTTGAATTTTTCCATTTTTTTAACAAAAGCGTTTAATTAAAGAATAACTCTGCAGATTAAATATTTATCATACAAGATATATCATAGCAGTTTATTAGTTTTAGCTCTTGTTACAGTAGTAATATTTGAATAGTAACTCATCAAGAGTTAGTATGATCACGCAAATATAAATAAGCTTATATTATATGGTGTTTGAAGTCCAAATATAAATATCCTTTTAATTTATTCTTTGGAAGTAAAATACTTTATAAATATTTGTTCATCAGCAGTAGGGGAAAATGAAACGCAGTATTTTATCATGCAATAAGCAACAATAATTTGAGAGATAAAGTGGAAATACAGATGTGATCGTGTCAGTCATATAATGGAAAGAGCAAAATAATATTTATATAAAGGATAAGAAATGTGCTAAAAATATAACAAAGAGAGGAGGGACACAAGTCATCATCAATTATTAATATCACAAATTCAACCAACCAAATGCCAATCTCATGCTTCAAACTATTTTAATTCACCAAAAAATACCAACTCACTTTGTTAACATCACTAGACGAACTTTTCTTTTGGACTTGATTCATTATTCAACATGTGAAATGCTATAACAAAAGGTTGTTGCCAAGTAAAATTATAACCTCTAGATTTAAGTTCACAATATACTGATGCTACGTAATAATTAGACTCTGTGTCTGATAATATATCTTGGATAGTTTCTTCAGATGGAATTTGAACTTTGGTAAGACTTGGACGCCAAAATAACCGCATGATAGGGTCAGCAAGTTTAATATTGGCTTTTGCCTCTGACCCATAATGATAAAAGAATTTGACTAATAAACCCTCTAAAATATTGAACTTATTAACAATAAAATTAAACATATCATTTAGGTCATCAATCCTCTTACCTTGTTCTTGCTTATTCAGTATCGGACTGCTTATGTTAATAAATTTATCTGACATCTCTTCGTAAAAAAATTTTCTTAGAATTCGTCTTTCATAATTCTCCTGCAAATTTGCATCACTGATGGGCAGCTCATCTATTTCTTGAATCCAAATTGGATATTTGCATAAATCCCATAAAGTACCTGTACGTGAAAACTCCCAATCAATAATGCCTACAATTTTGATATCATTAGTTGAGGAACGTTATGTTTTGTGCATCGAAATCACCGTGGATAAGAATAAAAGGTTTTTGTTCTACCAATTCATCAAAAATATTGGATAGCTTGGATTGAAGTAAGCCTAATTGCTTTATTAGACTTTTCACTCTAGTTACTGCCGTTCCGTGATCTATTTTACTTTCTTTAAAAGGTAGTAGTTCTTGTGCACCATGAATTTCGAAGAATTCCTTTTCTTTTTGAATCAAAGTGCCATAAAACTCTTGCAAGCTTTTAAAGGGGCCGGTGAAACTAGGAATGGAATCTCTTCCTTTAGAGTAAAATAAAGAACTCACAACAGGTCCTATTCGGAAAGTCGACATCTCAGACTTTTCACATGAATTAATTATACGGTACAACATTGAATATTATAATAATTATTATGTGCTTTATGTAAGGCTCCAATTCAATTATAAATGTAAATAAGATGTTATTACACTTACACTTAAAGATTGTTTATCCATGTAAAGACAACCGATCTCTTTGAACCGACATTGCGTCCATAACTGAAACAATATTCCATTGCCTTAAAACCCCTATTTTTTGTCTAATAGTCAACCCATCCCAAACTTGATATAAATGCTGTCCAGGCAGCCGTTCCATGAAAATGTAAGGGGTTTTTATGGGATTCTGCGCAGTACCATTCCAATCGTATACCACCGGTACTTTGATATTAGTGTTTTGAGCGACATATTTCATAGTCGCAACTTCGCTAGCAAATTTTGATGCAGGGTGAATTAGTTCGCGTGAGAGTCGGGCGATGCAATCCGGTCCAGTTTCGAATTGTAGCAAATAAATTTCGTTAAAAGCCCTCTTGTTAATCTACGAGCGCAAATACAGTGTCTGTTTAAACGACGGGAAGCATGCTGCTGTAACACATTTATATCCAGATCCAGTGCCGGTTCATCGTCATCTGTTGTTTCGGCCGACAATTTCTCATTTTCCAACAATTTCTCACTTTTGTTATCCATGAGAAAAAATTTTGTTTATAAAAAATTTTGTTTATATTATATTGAGAAAAAAAAATCCATGGGAAAAAAAAAATAAATACAACGAGTTTCTTAAATAATAATCCTTGGTTACGCAAATTATTTATAGCGTATCATATGTAAATCATGATATGTCACATTATAGTTTGACGCGGATTTCACTAGAAGTCTATAACATATTTCTGCTGTTATTCTTCCTCCAGTCCCAAGTTTCATTAATATTTTGATCTTTAAAGGGTATAAAACCAATATACTGACTTTGTGTAACATGTTTGTAATTTTAAAGTAAAACTTGTTTTTCTTACAAAAAAAATCTTATATTCACATACTACTAATCTAAAAATAGTAGATATTTCAATGAAAAGTAATATTTTTTGAAAAGTCTTAATCATATTTTACCATGTGGCGACGTTTTATCGGCACATTATCCTTCCCTTTATAATCCTGACATACTACCTATCAAATGCCCGATATGCTAAACAGCAGATGATTCCAATCAACATCTTGGTTTTTGTCCAATAATCATACCGTCGATGAACGACCTATTAACAAAAGTCAAACAAATTCTTCAAACAAAGTTACTTGCAGAAATTAATTCTTTTTTCACTAACGCAACTTTGTCACGTGACTTGGACTCAAACATCAGCTTTAATGTGGTATAACTTATAATAGAAGTATGGGCTCGTCAAATTATTTTATGATTATGTCACGCGCTGTAATGCCGTACATAATAAATGCTGTAAATCGTAATTGTCGTAATGGTGTAATTTTACATAAATATCTAAAAGAAAGAAAGAAACGAAGCTAACGAACCACTTCTTATTTTAACAAATATAATAATATTTCTAAAAATTAAATTTGTGTTTTATCTAACTTTAATTATCAAATTTAAAATTATTAAAATTACTTTAAATATGAGAAGAGTTAGACATTTACACAAAAAAAAACAGATTAAATCTACAGTTTTGTCTATATAAAGTCACGTGACAAACTTTTAATTGGCTATAAATCATACATTTACGTTTTTTAAAATCATTTTGCTTGTTTGTCAGAAAATATATAAAAGGATGTGCGCCTAGGCAATTGCTTTTACCTCTAATTAATCATATCTGATATCTAAACTTTAATTAATGTTGTTACCAGAATTATTTTTAAGCTGACAAGTTTGCGTACCAACTTTTACAATTCTTCTTCAAGAAAGATGTTCATAAGTCTGAATGGAAAAAATATTAATCCGGATCACGTATTTTGTTTTTAATCCACATGAATCAGAAATTTTTCTTGTGATTTTTCATATTACATGCGCAGTGGCTGTTACAGATTATTAAAAATGGAGTTTAATTTTTTTTATTGAAAATCTTTTTTTTTTATTTTTAATTGCCAGTCAATATTAAGGAACATGAATTTATCAGCCGCAATGCGAAAGAAGTTTATAACTTTAACTCTTATATTATTATCGTTATTATTATCATTATTATTTTATTCGATTTTAATACTAATTAATTAAAAAGCGTAATTTCACAGTATGTGAACTCTTTGTCATTTTTGAAAAACATTTCTATTTAATTGAGTTATTTTTATTGGAGAAACGATCGTTTTCTTAAAAAAAAAAAAAAAAAACTTTAGAATATCCCTCATAGTAAACTCTATACTCTTAAGTACGAATATACTGTATAATTATTTGGTAAAAGCGCTAAATATAAACATATCCACTTATTTACCTCCCGTATAATAGTACAATGACGCATAATATTAATAGTCTTATCATGAATATAATAACCAATTTTGATGTCTTCGTCGTATAAAGTATATATCATAATAATCAGTAATATGAATCTATGAATTTGTATAAGCTTCACGATGTTACGTCAAACCTTATAAATAAAGAAAATAAAGAAAAAGAAAAGTCGGAGATTTTTTTTCGATTTCTATCTTAAACATGAGTCGTTATGATAAACCGGAAATTTTCTGGATTTTTTTTCTCGACGACATTTCTAGACTATTTTTTCATAGCGATAAAGAAATAAAATACGGTGAGTGATTAATAAATAATTTTAAAAGTTGACAATCAAACTCCTCATCTTCCCTTTATGAACATACCTATATTCATAACCCAGTTTATAATGTTAATAATCCTCAAATTCTAAGCGGACAAGCTAAATAGGCTACAAAATTTTAAAATTATTTGAAATTATTTGGGTGTTTAAAATCCATCGTTAAAAAAGTGCTAATGCCTGGTGATACGTTTGTTTCGTAATTAGTAAACTTTCTAGTTAAAAATAGAATTTTAGATTCGATAATATTTTTTTTTTAATATTATGTCATTGCGACTATATTAAGAAATATTTTTAATGTTTGGTATTACGATGGTCACGATGACTTGGACTTGAGTTTTGTGAATCAAAACATTTATCTAAAGATGATTAACAAGAAATTTCTGTACTACAATGAATTAAGCAAAGTATTTATAAGTAAAAAATCAAACTTATATTGGAATCACAGAATCACAGAACAAACAAAAAAATTGTTCTATTGATGCACAATGCACAACTGTACGTCAGACAGTACGTCAGATAGTACGTCAGAAAGTACGTCACTTACTCACGTAAAATATATTTTCATTTTATAAATGGAAAGATGGATCCAAAAATTACAAATTACTTTACTGATTTCTTGTCAAAAATTCTTGTCTTGCCAGAAATGTTCAAACTTTATTTCGTATATGTAAAATATATAATGAAAAAAAAAACGGAGCGGAGATTCATTTCCGATAAATTATTTCATCAAGATTTAGTATAAAAATAGAAAAAAAAGAAACAAATAAAAAAACAGAAAGAAAAAAATAATTATTTGGCGTGAGATAAAACACAAAAAAAAAAAAAAAAAATAATACAATGTGATTATTTAAAAACCGACAATTCTATTTTTGTATTTATTGTTAATAAACTTATAATAAAAACGGAAAATCGTACAAAAATTTATAAATTGATCAACAAAAATATCTTAACGTTATTAAACTAATTAAACTTAATTTCTTAGATAGCCTTTGTAATCTTTCATTGTTTGGATATTTTGGATATCTTTGAAAGTGTGATTTCCAAAATCGAACAATTCATTAAATTCTATTTATAAACGATCGTTTTTGCTTAATTTAGTATCTTTTTTTGATCTTCAGATTTTCATAACGCCTCACGGCTGTGCTGTTGTGTTTGTGTTGCTTGTGTTATGTTACATAAGTAGGACAATCCTCAAAGAAATTTATTTTCGTCTTTGTAGTAATCTTATTCATAGGAGAAATTTATGGTTTTAAAAATATGTGACTTATAATAATAAAATATAATTAATACGGTAATCATTAATTTATTTTTTTAATAATAAAGGTACCATTACTATTTTCAAATCGAGCGTAGTTATCGATTAAACTTAATTAAATATATATGTGAAAGCGATGAAATTTTAAAATTAAGATAAATGTTAAACGATTGAGGTAAGTATCTCATAAATAATAACATATTAAGTGTTCGATTTTAAATGTAATTTTCCTGTGAAGTTACAAAATTATTAAGCGATAATAATGATAATTGATTTTGTTCATCGTCATCATAAAAAATAACGATTTGATTATTTGAATCCATGAAATATTTAAAATAATTAAAATAATTAAGGTCATAGGTAGTTAATTGATTATTTGAATGACAATTATTCTCTAATTCAAAAAAACATGGGGAATTTGAAGTAGTTATATGAGGATAAAAAGGCGAAGGCTGACAAATCACATCTGAAGTTGGGGAAACCATTGGTAATTGTCTATTAGAAGAAGAATTTCTCATAGAATGAATCTCATAAACCCGATCAAATAAATTTTTATAAACACTTTTCTCCGAATCTGTGGCATTCCTCCATAAGATACTTGTAACTTTGCTTATTACGCGCATGTTGTGAGATCCTTTGCGTTTTGACTCTAGCTGAACATTTTTGCGGCATATTAAAAATGCGTTGGGAGGTCTTTTTGGTCGAGTTGATGATGAATTGTTTGAAGGAACAGGAACGAATGATTCAACGTCATCATATTTTGGCGGAAAAATATTCTTCCGATCCAACCGAGCAAGCAACGACATTGCCAAGTATTCAATTGAAAAATCGTGCGTTGCCATAGTTATATTATCAAGTTCAGAAGGACTTCTTGTTAGAAAAAAAAATAATTTACTTCGAATTATTATTATTATTTTTTTTTTTTTGCAAAACACGAAAAAAATTAAGTGTCATTTTTATATCTATTTTTTAGCGGTCTGCGGTCTTTACAATAATTTTTTTTTTTGGAGTTCGTGTCACTTAAGCGAGATATCTAATTTAATAATAGGTTTTTAGATATTATTAAAAGTTTATAGAAAGTTCGAAGATTCTTTCTACCTCCTTATATTATTGTATACAAAGAATTTTTTTTTTTTTTTGATAATTGAATTTCTAAAAATTTTAAAATAATGAAATTTTTACCCATGACCGATATTAAAATAGTATTTTGTACATTTAATTTTGTTTACTTGGCATTTTAATGTATACACTTGGTATTTTTGGACAATAGAAAATATAAAGAAACGTTTGTGCAAACTTCTATTTGCGGTAATGATTTAAATTACTAATTGAAAAGTCTTTACTTTTAAGGTCTGAACCGTCTAAATTGTTGGGTTCACAACCGTTATCATTGATCGATGAGAAATTGGGCTTGTGTAACATCTACGAAAAAATTTCTGCGTGACGTTCTATTTTTTTTCTTTGATGAAGTATTTTTAAAGTTATGAAGCAGGATTTAATATATTAATAATATTTCTTTGTTTATTAAATATTATAAATATATATATTATTTATTTTATATTTAATATATATTATCTTATCGTTATAGGTTAAATTGAATTAAATTTAAAAATTTTTGTGTCACTTTATAAGATATGTCCTAAAAATTTCTTCATTGTTTATTATTAAAAAACAATCCCAAATTTACGATTAATATTGTCGCGAAAAAAAAAAAAAATTCACATGTATCATTAATATTTCTATCAATGTTAGTTCATTAATATGCACTAATAATCATTAATGTAATTATGAAATGAAAATTTATTAGTGTGAAATTTATTAATTCAATGACTGAATATTGTTAGGATAAAAATAATATATGTGTCACAAATTTTCTATCTAAAATAAGAAGTTAGTTAATTAATGCACATTGATCTTTTTTAATGTAATATTAAAGAATAGAATGTGAAAATATGTTACGAATTAAAGTTTTATAATTGACGCCCGATTTACTTATTTGTCTGCTTCGGTATTAAAACTCCGCTGAGTTTTTCAAACTCCGCTGCGGCTCTGCGGCTCTGCGCACCCACGTCATAAAAGATTCGAAATGGTCTAAACTCTCGCAATATTCAATATGAAAGAACAATTTTCATTATTAATTTATAATAGGTATACGAATTTATGCACGATGGCAATATGCACATCAAGCATTATCAATTACATTACTTTTTTGATTTAGTATGTTGATCATTGATTATTAAGCCTTCCTTCCTATTTATATTGCTCACGTGATTATTGTTCTCTTTCTATAAAAAAAAGTTTGTGCTAAATTTGTACCAAATGGGTTAATCATACGATATTTGTTTAGAATTTGTTCGAATTTTATATTATTTTTTTAGTACAAATTTCGAAATAAATGTTGTATGATTAGCCCGTTTGTCACAAATATAGCACAAACCTTTTTTATAGAGATAATCTCTTCTCCATTTTGAGGCAGCGTAATAAAGATTCTCTTCAATATTGGGTTATAAATATACTTACAAATATTGTATATGCAATAAATAACTTATGCGCTTTTCCTTAAAAAAAAAATCATTTTCTCTCCTTTCACAACATTTTATGAATAGGTATAGACGCGCAATAAATAGAAGCCTTATAAAAATAATAAATTTAAAAATATCTTAGTATTGAATAAATAAAATTAATTGTTTTTCGTCATAACTACCACAAAAATAACTTTAGTACCACCTGATATCAATGCAAAGAAAGTTGATGCGGATATAAAAGGTGATAATGATATTGACCAGGAGGTTTGAATATGATCATATGATAGAGAAACAGTAAGAATAAAAAATCAATTCCTTCAACATTAATAGAAGAATATACGTCAACAAACCGGACTGAATATCATGAAAAGGTATGACTTGGCTATATTTAATGCTAATAAATTACAAGAGTATTGCTAATAATCGACTGAAAATACTTCGCCTAACAATGCACTCATCACTCATGAAGGTCTTGATTCTGTATACATAAGCTGTCACAATTTGAGCAATTGAACTTTAAAGAAACGTTATAGTGCAAGATGACTTAATAACAAGAGATAACATTTACATAATTGCGCATAATACCAAGAAGACGCCTGCTAATTTCGATAAAAATGAGTTAAATCTTTGGAAAATGACAGAAGTCACGTTTTTTCCTTATTTTTAAACAAAGCAAAAATATTTACGATGATCACGTGGGACGAAAATTTGTCGGCATGCTAGGAATATGGCGGCGAATTCTTTAGAGCTTTATTTATAAAAAAGGTGAATAAATTCATAAAATTGTTTAATTTACGTGATATTACTTGTACTTCGTTTAGTTATATTTAAAAAGAATCAAATTTTTTACAAGTGATAAATATACAACCAACATATTTGCAATTTTAATAGCAGAATATAATATAACTATGATTGGGATGAAGTTGTTCGAAACTTTTAATTCAATAGGATTTTTTTTTACTTTCCTTGTAATTATTAGCTGGTAGTCACCATTCATATTTTAAAAATACAATTTTGCGTCTCTCTCAAAAATTTTACTGAACAACTAGTACCATTATTATTTGGATATTATACATATTATATAGCGTGATTTAAACCTTTTCATTTTTTTAAAAGGCCAATAATAAATTTTGAAATCTTAGAAGTTTATTTAAAATTCTGAACTATCTCAATCACGTCGCTCGTAGTTTCTATTGCGCTGCATTATGAACTACAGTTAAGAGCCCGTTAATAATAAACGGAATAAATCCTTTTATTTAACGTCATTGACTAAAGTAAAAGTTCTAAAAATTCTCTAGAGATATAATTCAAGAAATGCCCATTATAATAGCATTTATTTCGTATAAGTAAACAAATATATTTTGTTTTTGAAAATTACAAGTTTAAAATATGTACAATCAATCATTTAATAAATTACGCAAAAATCATAAAAACTAAAGTAATAGAGACTATAACTAAACTTATTGTAATTTCCCATAAACCATGTCTATTAGTAAGACTTGGAAAATCGTTAGGAATAACAACCTTTTTTACCACAAGTACGATGGATGGAGGGATATATTTCGCGAGAGTTGTAAGCTCACCTTTAGAATTTGTCGTCGTGATAGTTATTGTAGAACCGGGATAGTATAATGTAAGTGTTGTTGATGTAACTTTCCACTGAGATATTTTATTAGGTTGGTTATAAAGTTTATTATTTTCTCCTGGAGTTTGAGTTGGTATTATCGTTTCTATTTTATTCTGTGTAGATGTTATAGTTTCTGGAGTACTATAATCGCAAAGTAAGTGTATAATTAGCATTTTTAAGATAAAATAGTGTTGATGAACTTCAAAAAAAAAAAAATTTTTACTCACTCTCCCGATGAAGGTTTACACGCGGAATCATTAGGGGAAGTGCAAGTCACTGCTGGAGCTTTTTGCTCTTGCGGCTTTTGTGGTTTATCTGAATCTTCTTGTTCTGGTGGTTTTTGATCTGGAGGATTTTGTTGTGGTGGCTCTTCACTTGGTGGACTTTGTGTTGGGTCTGCTGGTGGTTTTTTCCCTGATAGATCTTTCCCTGATGGATCTTTCCCTGATGGATCTTTACCTGATGGATCTTTACCTGATGGATTTAGCCCAGCAGTATTTTGTTGATCTTGTGTATCTTGGTCTGGATTTTGCTCTGTCGGGTCTTGTTCAGGTGGGGTTTGTTCTGGTGCTTTCTGTGGTGGTTCTTGCGCCGGTGGATCTGGTGGTTTTTGGTCCGGTGATTTTTCTGGTAATTTTTTCTCTGGTGGGTCTGGTGGTTCTTGCTCCGGTAGTTTTGGTTCAGGTGATTGAGGATTTTCAGATGGTTTTTCAGGAGGATTTTCAGGAGGATTTTCAGGAGGATTTTCAGGTGGTTTTTCAGGTGGTTTTTCGGGTGGTTTTTCGGGTGGGTTTTCGGGTGGTTTTTCGGGTGGGTTTTCAGGTGGTTTCTCGGGTGGTTTTTCAGGTGGGTTTTCAGCTGGTTTCTCGGGTGGGGTTTCAGGTGGTTTCTCAGGTGGTTTCTCAGGTGGTTTTTCAGGTGGTTTTTCGGGTGGTTTCTCGGGTGGTTTTTCGGGTGGGTTTTCGGGTGGTTTCTCAGGTGGTTTCTCAGGTGGTTTCTCAGGTGGTTTCTCAGGTGGTTTCTCAGGTGGTTTCTCAGGTGGTTTCTCAGGTGGTTTCTCAGGTGGTTTCTCGGGTGGTTTTTCAGGTGGTTTCTCGGGTGGTTTTTCAGGTGGGTTTTCAGGTGGTTTTTCAGGCGGTTTCTCTTTACCTTGTCGTTTCCGAATAGAATTATCAATTGGATTTATTAATCCATAAGTTAGAATGGTAAAATTAATTATTACAATAAATATTATAATAATTATAAATGTTTGTTTATGTTTAAATTTTATAATATTCATATTAGATACTAAAATATAAAAATTTTTTTTTTTCGTAACTTTCAATTTGCACAGTACTTACATACATATATATATATATATTATATATTTCATTATTTGATCTATATTTAATAAAATGATAAAAATATCTTATTTGTTACAATAGAAAACGGACAAATTTATTTGATGATCAGTTTATTTTTAGTAACCAATATAAATAATATTATTGACATCATCATATAAAATGAATTTATTTAAGTTAAAACTTTCGATTAATAAGTATATATTCGTTTATAATATTACAATATATTTAATAAATTTAGTAATATTTTAAATTACAATTCAATGACTCGATTTTTATTTTAGGATTAATTTTAATTTTAATTTACATATCTGTTATTAGTATCAATAAGAATATAAATATTTTTCATTTTATTTAAGTATGAATTACTAATGAAGAAACCTTATTAAAAATAGGCGAGAAATTATATGTGTATATAAGTATTTAAAATTTTTATTATTTTCAACAGCTTTTTTCGGTGAGTAATCGAAAAGACTATTGTGTAACTTTTTCAATAGATAATATTTTACTGCGTCAGATTTTTTATCACATTGGATTGGTTGAGAATCAACACAAAATTCACAATATATTTACGTAATAATACATCATTCCACTATAAAAAAAAATTGATATATTATAATAATATTAATTAGAAGATTTTGACTTAGATTGATATTGATAAAACTGAAAATATTTCTTCTAAGAATAAGTATAATAGATTTGTACAAAAATTACCAATCAATTCCAGAATAATTTTTTATTAATGTACGAAATAAAAGAAGATAAAAATAAAAAAAGTTACTTTATTCTATTTTTAAACGGATGAAATCATTCCAATTTTGGAATAATAAGATCTAATTTTATTAATTGTATTATGTTTTATTAAAAGAAATTTCGAAAAATAATTTTTTTTTATTTTAAGAATATATTCGGATACATTAATCATTTCTTTGTTCTAATTAAGGTAAGGTGGCAACCATGTGGCACAGTATGTTGTTGATCATGATTCGATTAATATTGATACTGTATCTGGTACTGTATATGTATAAAAAAAATAATAATAATTAGTTATTGATCTTTATTGAATTAATATATATAATTATTATGAGAATGCCCCTGTAAATGGGAATTATTTATTTACAATTGATAACAATATACTTGAATAGTATTATGAGAATTAGAAATTTCCTAGTAAAGTGAGCGAAATCTACGAAGAATCAATTAGAAAAACATTTTAGAAGAATTACGTGTGTTTATTAATGAGATTAGCTCAGCGTTTTGTACGTGGCCCATTTTCATCCAATCATTCGGTCCTGTGACCGATATAGCTACTCCCTCATTAAATAACATATTTATTTACAAGAAAATTGATTAATTGACAGCAAGTACTATCTTGACTATATTTTACATAATATGTTTATAGTTATTGGTATAAAAAATAAAGCGCTCTGTCCATTTATCAATGAATTATTAGTAGAAATAAAATATATACACTTAATTCATTATTTGACATTTTGAAAATAAGTTGAAATTTATCCTTTATTCCTGTTGATAGTCGAAAGTCATTGTTAAAGAATTCATATCATTTCGAAGTTGTGTACATACAATTTAGTTAGGTATTCCACTTTAAGTGAATTTAATAATGATGTTTCTATAAATAAGAAACTTACCTATCAGTTTATATACTAATGTTTTTTTTATTCCTTTCTTAAAATTAGATTTTAAAAGAAGGATTTCAAGAATTCTTTTGATCGATGAGCTAAATCATTATCCAATCCCCTTCACCATTCATTATCGGTATGAACCATTTTTGTTCCTTCTTATTAAAAAATATTAATAACATGTTCTTTATTCTTTTATCATATTCCATCATACTCTACGTCTAAAAGAGAACTTTTTTAAATTTATAGGTCAGCAGTTTATTCTCAAAATTATTGGCTTTTACCCTATTAAGAAAAACATATATGTACAATATACTATATATATACAAGTGACAATGACATAAAAATTGATTTAAAATATTATAAATTTAGCAAATTTTTTTTTACAATAATACAGTATATTGAAATAATTTTTGCTCATTCATTAACACTGTAATTTAATGCATTCATAATTCTTTCTGTTAGTATATAGTAAACAAATTTATTAATTTTATTATATTGAAATCATTTTAGTGAAATTTTTTTTTTTTTTTGAAAAAATGTTATTACAAATAAGCCAAATTAAGTCTTATGCTGTAATATTGTTAATGAGACGATTTCATCGTAAAATACGATACCAATCTGTATAAATATATTTGAAATTTACGAAATTTTTAAAAAAGGTTTTATTTTCAAATTACTTTAAAACAATTCCAAATTTCAAAATTCTCTCTTGGTTAAATATTAATTTCTCGATATTGAGTTGAAAATGCAAATCTGCATGACTGTCACTAATCATGATATAATAAAACATTACTATTGTTGACCTAATTATTCTTTACATAAATTATATTTTTATAGCATTACTTCATACATATTAACAATTTTTATTTCAAGTAAAATTTTGATGGCCGAAATCCTATTGAATAAAATATTATCGATATGCATAAAAGTTTAACCCAGTTTCACGAGATTTAATTTGTTGAAAAAAATCTATAACTTATTAATTTAGTTGCTTATTTATTTTATTTTGTCATTTAATCTTAGAGATACCAAAATTGGGGACGTCTAAGTCGTCTAATCGTCTAAAACGGTGTATAATCACGTGAACATAATAAAATATTTCATTTTTATTATTCTATTTTGGCTAGTAATTGTTTGTCATCAATTATTTGTCATATGTGTAATACCATAATGCCGGCAAAAAAATACTCCGTTTGACCCCCCCTAAAATTGATATATTTAATTTAATTGCCGATCAAGATTATTCGACCGGTTTAACTAGTCTTTTTTATGATAATTTGTTGCCGATCTTAAAATCATTGTAACATAAAATAATGTTTCACCACTTTTTTTCTTTTCCTTTATTATTTTTTAATCATTTTTACATACGAATTAATAACATATTTTTTGTTTAAAATTATTTATTAAAATGGATGAAATTAAATTACTAAGTGATGATGTAATTGAACAAATAAAAGATTTTGACTACTGGTATCGGACTAAAGAACAAAAATCGTTAATCGATAAACTAATAACAGACAAAGAATTAAAAGAACGTTATGAAATATATGGTTTATGTAAAGAATGTAAGCAGCTTAATACTGAACATTTTTATTGTTGGTCATGCAAATCACAATATTTTAAACAAAATTTCAAAAATTGGACAAGTGGAAATCATGACGTTGATGAATTTATTCAAAAAGCACAATTAAAAGCTAAAAATTTTGATCAAATAATAGAGTGGATTGAATATGATGAATTTGAAGATGTTGAATATTTAGCAAAGGGGGGATTTGGAACTACTTTTAAAGCAATTTGGAAAGATGGTCCTTGGAAATTAAATTTCGGTAATAATCAATTGGAAAGAGATGGTGAAATAAAAGTTGCTTTAAAATGTTTACATAATTCACAAAGCATTACGGCGGATTTTTTAAAAGAAGTAAGTTATTTTCTACCTATTTTAGTATGATTAGACTTTATAATTTCTAAACTAACTACAATTTTCTTTTAAGGTTGAATCAAATATTTTAGTATATAAAACTAGTTGGGTTGTTCGTTGTTTTGGTATTACCAAAGACCTAAAAACAAATAATTTTATGATGGTGATGGAATTAAAACACTGTGATTTAAGACAACACTTAAATAATAACTTTAATACATTAAATTGGAAAGATAAGTTGGTTCTTTTACGAATTATTTTAGTTGGTCTTGAAGGAATTCATGTTGCTAGGATTAGTCCATCACGATTTTCATTATGGAAATTTATTAAGTGATTTTAATGAAGTTAATTTTGCTTATATTACTGATTTGGGATTATGTCAACCAGCAAATGTTGAGAGTGATAATAAAAAAATATATGGAGTATTACCTTATGTAGCTCCGGAGGTTTTAAGAGGAGGAAAGTATACTCAAGCAAGTGATATTTATGCATTTGGAATTGTTGCATATGAAATTTGCACAGGTTTTCCCCCTTATCATGATATGGCACATGATGAATTATTGGCAATGAAAATTTGTCAGGGGTTAAGGCCAAAATCTAATTATAAAATTCCTCAACTAATTATCGATAAAATTAATCAATGTTGGGATGCAGACCCCTCAATACGACCTAAAACATACGTATTATTTAAGTTACTTGATGGTTTATATTTTGATATTAGCGAAAATAAAGTGGATTCTGTAATTTATGGGCAAGTTAAAGAAGCAGATGAAATTAATAAAAAGTCATCATCTTCTTCAACAGTTCAATTACAATTATCATTTACTAGTACACTCTCATATATTACACATCCTCAAGCAATTTATACAAGTAGACTTTTAGATTTTAAAAATCTTCCGGAACTAAATAATGCAGATAATAATGATGATTTACTCGGAGTAAAATATTCAGGTAAACATATGTATTTTATATTATAATTTAAATTAAATTTGTAATGCTAACAACTAATATTTATATATTCTTTAAAGATAGATTTCACTAAACTTGATATTAATTCTAAAGGTAATTACTTTATCATGTGGTAAATATTTTAGATTTATTAAATTTTAATCTAATTAATTTATTATCTTGTTATAGATGAAAGTGTTTAAACATAGTTTACTTGAAATGAAAATATTAATATAAAAAAACATATGATTTTATTCGTTTTTAATATTTTTTATTTTATTTTGAACTTGGAGGATAATGTTATAATTTTATTCTTGGACGTTTAATGGAATTATAATAAGGTCCATATTAGTAATTGTTCGTATCTGAACAAATTTATATATATGTCTGCTAGTAGTAAAAAATTTTATTTTTATTAATAAATTTTGATTATAATAAGTAATAATAAATAAATCGCTTATATTTCATTTGTGTAAATAAGTATTGAGACTGATAAACAAGAGATGTTCGGTGATACTTTTATTATTACAGTATAACAACTATTACTGGAAGTTTATATATTTAATACAACTTTGAAATACATTTTCCGAGACATTTGTACGTTGTATTACTTCTTTACATTATATAAATTATGGATTAATGTAAAAAAAAAATTATTCTTTTTAAATATTCTTTACATGATGATAGAGAGTATAGAAAGAGGATAAAATATTTTGAAGTCGATAATCACTCAAAAATTTGGCCTTTTTATTTTGGGTCTTAAACTTGCATTTGTACAACTTAATTCATTAAGTCAAACTTTCACACCAAATCGGAGATTCTCTGCAGTAGTTAATTTTAGGATTAATATGATGTCTTTGGTCGCATTTTACAAGTTTATAAGTTTACGAAATGATAAGACGTATAATTATATTTATAATATCCTAACAGCTTAAACCTTTATTAAACTTTGCAAAATATTTGTAACTTTTGTTATTAATTTATTTTGGTTGAACATACAATAAGATGTCTTCTATCAAAATTCTTTAAACTTTGGTATATATGATATAATTAATAATTTTTTGCATAATTTATTAAGTACTATTCTTTAATATTAAAAAATGAAGTACTTTTAATGTTACTTGTGTGCAAAGAAATTATTTATAATCAAAATAGAATAAAACATTATTGACTTATGGTTGTTCTTGCGTATTTTAACTAATATTCAAATTTTATAGATTTATATTCATACTTAATTTTTCATTTAATATTAGTTTATCAATTAATAAATTTTATTCTTCAGGTTAATGGCAAACTGAATAATATCTAAAATATTTTATTTCCCCAAAATTAATACGTTGTCACTGATCTTAATAATTTCTTCCATAATAAATATAAATATGTAATACATCAATATGGATAAAGAATTAAATGAGTATGAAGTTATTTGATAGAAATAAAATTTGGTTTTTCTCTGTTTATTCAAATAGAAAAATTAAGAGAAATTATCAGCGATATTAGGGTTATGTAGATTTATAATATTTATATAAAATTCTAATTAATAAAATCATTAACTGAACGTTCATACTTTATTGTCATATTTACAAAATAAAAAAAATAAGTCAGATGATAATATTTATGAACTCGGTGAAATTTTTTTTTTTTTTAAAAAAATGATTATTAAAATATGCATATGACGACACATTGTCAATGAGATCAATCAGGAAGATTTTAAAACAATTCCAAATTTCCAAATTCTCTCTTGGCTAAATATAATTATGTATATCTTCTAGAGTGGATTAACTTTCTTCATATAAATATGGTGATTATAACCAGTGATGCTAACGGTCCGGTTTGGTCCGACTTGAAGCCAAAGTCAAGCCGGACCGATAAAAAAAGTCAACTGAACCGAGCCGGCTTAAAAGCTCAAATCGAACCAAGCCAAGCTGAACCGGCGGCTGATGGAGTTGATGGCAATTTATTATTAAGAAGAATTCTTTTTGTGTACTTAGATTAAATAAATAATTTATCATTCCCTTTTTATTATCGATATTTTTTTTTTTAAAAAAAAAAAGACATCAAAAAAAAATTGATTAAACCAAGTTTTTTACATTCTCTATACATTCTATACACTCGGTTTCGTTTTTATAAACATTCCGTATAAATTGCTTTTTTATTCAGTAAGTAGTTTAGAAATTGTAAAAGTGGAGCAATAATTATTGGGACTATGCTCTCTGAAACGATTTATATATAAATAATTATTATACTAGATTACTAACTACTTTTTCTTTTAATTTGTAGGAGCAGAACACCAGCTTTTGGGTACTTGAATTTTCGGCTTTCGACTCCATCGACCCATTGACCCCATCGGCTTGTCACTTTCAAGTCAGACCGAACCGCAACTTGTATTCCCTCAAGCCGAACTGAACCGGACGACTTCGGAGCATCAAGTCAAGCCAAATTGACCCCCATCGGCGTGGCTTGGACTTAACAACACTAATTATAATTTATAATGATATTCAAATTCTTCATTTATTATTATTTAATAATTTTTATTTGTTAAATTTGATGACCAAAATTTCTTATATAAATACATCATCATTACCGATGTTATACCAAAGTAGTAATCAATAGTTGTAAAAAGTTTAGCCTAAATTAAATGTTTATTAAAACTTAAAACTTAATTTTCCCTATTAGGGAATTTAAATAAAAATTTGGATAATACTTTTCCTTGAACGCTATAATGTTCTTAGTAAGAGCCTATACACATATAAACATATTACGTAAATATTACATATATATTTAAATTTAATTGCCGATCAGGATAATTGTGTTTCCTTTATGTATTTAACTAGTCTTTTTTTAATAATTTTGTTGCCGATCTTAAAATCATTGCAACATATTTAACCACTTTTTTTTCATTTTTTTTTTCCTTTATTATTTTTTAATAATTTTTACATACGAATTAATAACATATTTCTTGTTTAAAAATTATTTATTAAAATGGATGAAATTAAATTAAGTGATGATGTATTTGAACAAATAAAAGATTTTAATCATTTTATACTGACTGAAGAACAAAAATCGTTAATTGATAAACTAATAACAGACGAAGAATTAAAAGAACGTTATAAAGAAAAAGGTTTATGTAAAGAATGTAAGCGGCTTAATACTGACCTTTATTATTGTTGGTCATGCAAATCACAAGATTTTAAACAAAATTTCAAAAATTGGACAAGTGGAAATCATGACGTTGATGAATTTATTCAAAAAGCACAATTAAAAGCTAAAAGTTTTGGTCAAATAATAGAGTGGATTGAATATGATGAATTTGAAGATGTTGAATATTTAGCAAAGGGGGGTTTTGGAACTACTTTTAAAGCAATTTGGAAAGATGGTCATATTATTAGTGGTTGGGATTTTAATATTAATAAATTGAGAAGAGAAAGTAAAACAAAAGTTGCTTTAAAATGCTTACATAACTCACAAGATATTACAGCAGATTTTTTAAAAGAAGTAAGATATTTTTCTTATAAATCTTCATTAGCCTTTATAAATGTTAAACTAACAATAATTTTCTTTTAAGATTGAATCAAATATTTTAGTATGTGGATCTGCACATAGCTGGGTAGTTCGTTGTTTTGGTATTACCAAAGATCCAAAAACAAATAATTTTATGATGGTGATGAAATTAATAAAAGGTAGTTTAAGACAACATTTAAATAACAACTTCATTTCACTTGATTGGAGTCAAAAGTTGAGAATTTTATGTTTTATTGCAATTGGTCTTATAGATATTCATAATAAAGGATTAATTCATCATGATTTTCATTGTGGGAATATATTAAGTGATTTTGATAATCATGCTTATATTACTGATTTGGGATTATGTCAACCAGCTAATATAGAACATTCTCAGAGTAATAATAAGAAAATATATGGAGTACTACCTTATATGGCTCCAGAAGTTTTAAGAGGAAAAGAATATACCCAAAAAAGTGATATTTATGGATTTGGAATAATTGCATATGAAATTTGTACAGGTTTCCCTCCTTATCATGATATAGCTCATGATGAATTCTTAGCATTGAAAATTTGTCAGGGGTTGAGGCCAAAATCTAATTATAAAGTTCCTCAATTAATTGTTGATATTATTAATCAATGTTGGGATGCAGACCCTTTAAAACGACCTAATGCAGAAGAATTACATAAGTTAATTTTTGGCTTAGAACGTAATCTCAATCCAATGGTTTTTTATAGGCAAATCAAAGAAGCAGATGAAATTAATAAAAAGTCATTTTCAACAGTTCAATCACCATTATCATTTACTAGTACACTCTCATATACAACGCATTCTCAGGCAGTTTACACAAGTAGACTTTTAGATTTTAAAAACCTTCCAGAACCAAAAAATGCAGACAACAATGATTTAGAATATTCAGGTAATTTTATTTATTTTATTTGAAATAATTATTTAAATCCATTCAAAATAATAATTATTCTTTTATTTTACAGATTCTCTAAAAATGGATTTTACTAAAATTGATATTAATTCTAAAGGTAATTAATTACTTTTGCATGTGATTTTTTTGATCTATTAAATTTTAATTAAACTTTTTTTTTTATTATAGATGAAAGAAATTAAACTTATTTTACTTTAAATGAACGATAATATTTAAAAGTAAAATACTTATAAATTATCCATTTTTTATTATTTTTTTTATTTTTATTGTAAACTTGGTGAGAGATCAAGGATAATGTTATAATATTAAATAAACAAAATTTAGGTAATATTTTTCTTCATAATGTTCTATATCTAACCATCTAATCGTAAAATTAGTGTACTTTGTGTATAATAAGTGGAGCCTTACTATTTAACAATTTTTGTTTGAGTTAAATTTTGATGACCAAAATTTTTCATATGAACACATCATTACCGATATTATATCAAAGTAGTAATCAACATTTGTAAAAAGTTTAGCCTAAGTATTTATTAAAATTTAATCTTCCCTATTAGTGAATTTAAATAAAAATTTTGAGGAATTGTTGTAATACCTTTCCATTCTTATCATTTTTCGATGAGGCCTCTAGTTGTTGTTTAGTTGCATCTAGTTGTTTTTGAGCCAGCATAGCAGGCTTTCTATATTATCACATGAATTTTGCCGATCATTTTCTATTCTATAAGGTATCGTTAAGAGACAAAATATTGAAAATTCTACATACTAATATATCCTAAATTTCGCAAACATATTAATTTATTTTAAACTTTATTCATACTTATTTTTATAAAATCTATCTATTATTGATTAACTTTCATATGTAGTAACCTTTTAAATTAACATTACCTACATAATTTTTTTAATATAAATGTCTTGGTAAACTAAAATCGTACATAGCAAATATGTCTCAAACTTTACTTTATAATTAATATTAAGTTGTTATATTTATTTCTAAAATTTATTTCTAAAATTTATTAAATCCAGAATAAAACCGAAAGACTTTAATATGTACCATTCATTTAAATTTAGGAATCAAATATAATTCTTTTAGTGAAATTGTAAATAATTTGACATACATGTATGATAGAGACATGATTCCACATTCATCTGAAAGGAAAAAATGTGACCTATTTAATGATTAAAAAGTACATGAATTCAATCACTAGTTGATGAATAATTCCGTCCAACTTATTAATCTCCAATTTTTGAGTTTAATCATTAATATCTCCACATGTAGTGATTCAATATGAATAGTCTTTGATTCTAAATTAGGGTAGATTTTCTTCTTTCAAATGAATGTAAAATAATTTGTTTAGTATATGTGTGTAGAGCGATAAAAAATTAATGAATACAGTATATTACTTCAATCAGCAAATTTAAATTATATTTCTTACCATAATAAAAAATTATAGAATTCTTTTCTTTAAGCTTTTAATAGAATGACTCTTACGAAATAACTTTTAAAGAAATAGGAAAAATATATATAATTAGTTTATTATAAAAAAAACTCCAAAATGTTTATTATAAAAAGAAGAAACCCCCAAAAATCCTGTACTGAAAAACTTATCTTTTTATTCTGTAAAATATAAAAATATTTGGTCAAAACATTACCTTGTTACTTTATTTATTTCAATAGGCTGTTACGAAAGTAAACTTCTAAAAAATAAGAAAAAGTAGTTGTATTAAATAAGAATAAATACAGAGTGAATAAAAATAATCATAAAATATAATTTTACTATTTTATGAGAAACCTTAACATACATGTAACTTCTGAATTACCTCTTCAATATTCAAATTATTTTGTAAAGCGTCTAAAAAGAGTTAAATATGCATTTGATTTTTGCTATTAAATTTTTGTAACGCTATTAAATTAAAATAGTAAAGATATCACGAATTTAAGTTTTGGGTAAAATCATGAAATCTAGCTAATAAAGTTGCGCACACTTTGAGTTAGATAAATACATACCGTAATACAAAATTACACGCCTAATTTAGATTTTGCAATTTATTATTTTACATATCACTTCGTTAAATTATTTTTTTAATGGAAAATAAGTGATCGGCAAAGTGATCTACACTGTGATAATACGAAAGCCTGCTATATTGTAAGAGCGAGTATATAGATAACATGTAGTGTATGGATGACGAAATATGTAATGTATGGTTGATTTTAAACCATACATATATGTAAGCATTAAAATCATACAACTATTCTTCGATCACGTGAAATTTTTGCTGATCATTTCCTAAATAAAACTTGAAGATATAAATTTATACATATTTATCTGTAATTTTACATGCTCTACATAATCTTTGACTTCTTACATATATTTTTTCAAAATGATGAATTTTGCAAAAATGGCATTTAAAACCCTCTTTTGTATTCTAAGTAAACTTGCTTAGAAGGTAAAAATACATATATTTTACAAATTTTATGGCCGTATAATATATGGGTTAAGTTTTATTTGAAATATAAAAAAATATATTTTTATCGCCAAAATTAATCAGCTTTTTAGGAAATGATCGGCAAATCGTCACGTGATCGAAGAAATTTTCTGGGTGCTGTTGGGGTAGTTAAATCATACATAACGTATGATGATTAGTATTGTAAGTGTAATATTCATACATATGTAATATTTATATGTTGATTATCATATGAATATAATCAGTTTTGTGTCTAACTCTCAGTTCATACGTTACACGCGTTCTGTCAATTTTGAAACTTTTAACTTTCACTCAACAAGAAATGATCCCCAGTTGATGATGAAAGGGCAGAAAGACACCAATTAATGTAAATTGAAATTGAGAAATGAAAAATGGGTTTACAAAAGCGTACTACTGCTAATAGAAAGGCTCAAGCAGAAATTGAGAAACTTGAGCTTAACCAAGATATTGAAGAAAAAACTAGAGTTTGAAAATTAGAAGCTTTTATTTTGTTTTCAGTTATTTCATTTTATTTTTATTTATTTTTTTTGTTTACATAATAAAGTTCTAAATAAAAAAAATAAAAATACTTTGCACACCTGATGATCCAAGATTTTTCACCCCACGTGACCTGCATAAAATGGCACTCCCCACCGTTTTCATTTTTTCATAAGTATTCTGGGGACAGAAAATTTTAGTGGTGAAAAAAATTGTTTTCATGCCCCCTTAAACATCACTGGTCACGTGTGGGTAGAATTTTACTTAGACGATACTGGGGTACTAAATATGATCGTGATGAAAGGTCACGTGATTTGATTTCTATGCAATAACATACGAATTTATTTAATAAAGTGTACGTGTATGTAATCATTGTAATGTATGTATTTTGAGCAAAATTAAGTATTGTTATTGCATTAATTGTACGTATAGACTACATAATTGTGCATACCTTACATACATAGGTATCGGTATCCAATAATACACTACATGTTATCGTAACACCCGGATAATTGTGTTTCCTTTGTGTGTTTAACTAGTCTTTTTTTAATGATTTTGTTGCTGATCTTAAAATCATTGCAACATAAAATAACGTTTCAGTCGGTTCACCACTTTTTTTCATTTTTATTTCTTTTCCTTTATTATTTTTTAATAATTTTACATACGAATTAATAACATATTTCTTGTTTAAAAATTATTTATTAAAATGGATGAAATTAAATTAAGTGATGATGTATTTGAACAAATAGAAGAGTTTGATCATGATGATTTGACTGAAGAACAAGAATCGTTAATTGATAAACTAATAATAGACGAAGAATTAAAAGAACGTTATAAAGAAAATGGTTTATGTGAAAATTGTAAGCAGCCTAATACTGAATATAATTGGTGCCAGGAATGTAGTTGGTTATGTGAAAATTGTAATCGGCGTAATACTGAATATGATTGGTGCCAACCGTGTATTATTAATAATCTTCAATCAAATTTCAAACATTGGACAAGTAGAAATCATGAAGTTGATGAATTTATTCAAAAAGCACAATTAAATGCTATAAATAGTGACCAAATCATAGAGTGGATTGAATATGATAATTTTGAAGATGTTGAATATTTAGCAAAAGGGGGATTTGGAACTACTTTTAAAGCAGTTTGGAAAGATGGTCCTATTTCGAATTGGGATTATGACAATAATCGATGGGAAAGAAATGGTGAAGCAAAAGTTGCTTTAAAGTGCTTACATAACTCACAAGATATTACAGCAGATTTTTTAAAAGAAGTAAGATGTTTTCTTATAAATCTTCATTAGCCTTTATAAATGTTAAACTAACTATAATTTTCTTTTAAGATTGAATCAAATATTTTAGTATGTGAATCTACACGTGGCTGGGTAGTTCGTTGTTTTGGTATTACCAAAGATCCAAAAACAAATAATTTTATAATGGTGATGAAATTAATAAGAGGTAGTATGAGACAACATTTAAATAACAACTTCATTTCACATAAATGGTGGGAAAAGTTGAATAATTTATGTCTTATTGCAATTGGTCTTATAGATATTCATGATAAAGGATTAATTCATCATGATTTTCATTGTGGGAATATATTAAGTGATTTTCATAATAATGCTTATATTACTGATTTAGGATTATGTCAACCAGCTAATATAGAACATTCTCAGAGTAATAATAAGAAAATATATGGAGTACTACCTTATATGGCTCCAGAAGTTTTAAGAGGAAAAGAATATACTCAAAAAAGTGATATTTATGGATTTGGAATAATTGCATATGAAATTTGTACGGGATTGCCTCCTTATCATGATATAGCTCATGAGGAATTCTTAGCAATGAAAATTTGTCAGGGGTTGAGGCCAAAGTCTAATTATAAAGTTCCTCAATTAATTCTTGACGTTATTAATCAATGTTGGGATGCAGACCCTTTAAAACGACCTAATGCATATGAATTACATCATTTGCTTTATGATTTATATTTTGATATCAATAATAGAGTGGATTCTATAATTTATGGGCAAGCTAAAGAAGCAGATGAAATTAATAAAAAGTCATTTTCAACAGTTCAATCATCATTATCATTTACTAGTACACTCTCATATACAACACATCCTCAAGCTGTTTACACAAGTAGACTTTTAGATTTTAAAAACCTTCCAGAACCAAAAAATGCAGACAACAATGATTTAGAATATTCAGGTAATTTTATTTATTTTATTTNACACAAGTAGACTTTTAGATTTTAAAAACCTTCCAGAACCAAAAAATGCAGACAACAATGATTTAGAATATTCAGGTAATTTTATTTATTTTATTTCAAATAATTATTTAATCCATTCAGAATAATAATTATTCTTTTATTTTACAGATTCTCTAAAAATGGATTTTACTAAAATTGATATTAATTCTAAAGGTAATTACTTTTGCATGTGATTTTTTTGATCTATTAAATTTTAATTAAACTATTTTTTTTATTATAGATGAAAGAAATTAAACTTATTTTACTTTAAATGAACGATAATATTTAAAAGTAAAATACTCATAATTTATCCATTTTTTTTTTATTTTTTTTTATTTTTATTGTAAACTTGGTGAGAGATCAAGGTTAATGTTATAATGTTACAATGTTACTCTAGGACATTTGATGAAAATGTAGTAAGGGTAATATTTGTCAATTATTCATATCTGAAAAAATTAAACGTTAATATTGTAGCAAAATTTAAAATTTTTTTTTTTTATTTATAAATAAATTAATAAATAAATAAATATTGTAGCTAATAAATACGGAACTAGGTTTACTGCAAAAAATTACTTTTCAGTGATACCTTATTACAAATAAATAATAAGTAAAATACACCCACTAGAAGTTTATATATTGAATATGACTTGATAAATTATTTTGAGATGTACCGATACTAAATTAGATATGATACTTTTGCGTTAGGTAAATTATGAATTAATGTTAAAAATAGTGCAGTAAACAAAAATGTGGAATAAAAAATTATTCTTTATAAATATTCTTTGTAAAGACGAAAAGTGGTTAAAACATTTTGAGGGTAATAATCATTCTCAAAAATTTAGCATTTTTATTTTTAGCTTGTTCTTTCACCTGCTGGTGCTATAAAAAGTCAAAGAAAGGATGATGAATGTGAAATATGTGAAATACAAGAATAGTTACAAAATGAATATAATAAATATGTTAACCGCATATTATTAAATTAAAGTAATTATTATTCTTTTTTAAAAATATTTCAACCGTTAGAAATATAAATATACATCGAACATAAATTATAAAACAGTTATTACATATATTTTAAATGTAATATTGTTAATTCAAGATAATAAATTAATATAGAATTTCTATTATAGATAAAATTTAAAACTGATAAAAAATGAATATTGCAATCAAGATATTCAAATTTTCAAGTCAAATTCGAAAAAATTGCATTTTATTTCATAAAAAAAAAAAAAAAAAAAATGTTTTTTATAAAAGTATATATTTAAATATATCATGTTACATTCATTTAGTTGTATCTTATAATAAATTTACCTGCACTTTATGCAATTTAACAAAAAGTCTAGAGATTTAACTGATTTTATGAATTAATATAATGACTTTAGTCGCATTTTACAACTTTTAATTTTTTATAATTTTTATAAATTGTTTGTGTTCTTTATTATTTTGACGATTAAAATAGCATAAGATATTGTGGCTTTTCCGTGTATTTTAACTAATCTTCAATAACGTTTATACGTATTTTTTTGAAATTTCACTTAATATTAGTGACTGACTGATAATATCCAAAACCTTTTACACGTCATCACCGAGTTTAATTTCTTTCATAATAAATAATAAATAATAAATACTATATTATTCTGAAATTATGGATGAAAAATAATAGCAGAAATAAAAAAAGTAGTGAAGCAAGACGAGAAAGGCACGACTTAATGTTATAAATGAATTTAACGTGAATCTGTCATGTGACTATAAATATTAGTAACTTTTTTAACCGATTGTTCATAGTGTTATTACATTATATTTTATATTTTTTGACCCTTTTTACTTTACAATTATCATACTTTATTGTCATCTTGCTTAAAATAAACGATGATTTCAAATCAGTTCCAACTCTCAAATCAATGTATTTCGTTTGAAGAACCCAGTATAAAGATGATCAATGATCAACGACGTTCAAGAGACTAAAATCAGCAAACTTAATTAAAGATATTCTAAATAGAACCTCTTCTAATTTTTTAATCTCTCAATATTTTGTAATCAAATTTACATGCAACATTAATGAAACTCAATGTCCATATCATGAATAATAATTTATCATAATATACAAACTATTCCTTATATAATGAAAATTCAGAACGAGTCAAAACATTTTATTACTATCTTTTAAAACATTAAATTGGATATTTGTTAATCAAAAATCACCATTACTATTCACATAAATCAAGCATATATATAAAAGGGGGTTTGAGTTTGCGTATTTTGGACTAAAAAAAATCATGAAAATCTTTCCTTTTTTAGATAATTTCTGATAATGCCAGTCAGAATTTTATTTCCTATTATAGTAACTGACTGATATTATCATAATTCCGGCCCTGAAAAAATGCGTACAGCTCATAGTAAAAAAATTTTTTCATCACCTGACCCCTATATATATCAAACAAATTACCTACTGCGGACTGCGGTCCTGATGATTTAATTCGGCCCGTGCTATCAATTTGACAAGCAGAGTTTTGCCGTAATGATAAATGAAATCTTTTACATTTTAAAGAACTAAAAACTCATTATATATTTAACGCCTGCAAATATTGAAAATATATTATTTATTTTAATAATAAATAAATAAATAAATAATCTCATATCTTATTAAATTATTACGAATTATTGATATAAACCTATTGTCTATAACATATAAATTATCCCTTATATTATAACTTAGATGTAATTCAACATCAACTAAGCTGAAATTATTGAACGTCAATTATTATTACATTTTCTGTTAAATAATTATTAATGCAGATTCTATATTAACATTCTTTTAAATTAAATTACGCAAAAATCATAAAAACTAAAGTTGCAGTAACCACTGCTAAACTCATTGTAACACCCCATAAACTATTGTTATTAACCCCATGTAAAATTGTCATAGAATCTGATGTATCAGTTCCATCTTCAAGTGCGGGTGCAGTGACAGCAACCTTCTTTACCACAAGTACAGTGGACGGAGGAATGTATGTCGCGAAGGTTGTAACTTCTCCAAGAGAATTTGTTGTTGTAATAGTTGATGTATAACCAGCAAAATATAATGTTTGTGTTGTTGTGGTGGTTGTAAACTTAGTTATTTTATTTTTCCCATTATTATTATTATTATTATTATTATTATTATTAGCATTTGGGGTCGGAGCTGGTGTTACTGTTTCAACTTCATCTTGCGTAGACGTTTCAACTTTTGCAGTACTATGATTGTGTAAAGTAACATGATTAGCGTCTCAAAAGAAAAAAAAATAATAATAATACATTTATATACATGTTTATATATACTTACACTCCTGGTGGAGCTTGGCATCTAGGATCATTAGGAGAAGAACAAGTTGCAGTTGGATCAATGGTTTTTTTTGATGTTGTTGGTGGTCCTCCATTACCACCACCATCCGGTATTTTTCCTCCATCTCCACCTGGTGCTTTGCCATCTCCACCTGCTGGTGCTTTACCATCTCCACCTGCTGGCGCTTTACCATCTCCACCTGCTGGCGCTTTACCATCTCCACCTGCTGGTGCTTTACCATCTCCACCTGCTGGTGCTTTACCATCTCCACCATCTGGTGCTTTACCTCCATCTCCACCTGGTGCTTTACCTCCATCTCCACCTGGTGCTTTGCCTCCATCTCCACCTGGTGCCTTACCTCCATCTCCACCTGGTGCTTTACCTCCATCTCCACCCGGTGCTTTACCTCCATCTCCACCTGCTGGTGCTTTGCCGCCATCGCCACCACCGCCACCTGGTGCTTTGCCACCATCTGGACCTTGTCGTTTTTGAAGAGCACTACCAACTGGTTCATAAATTGGAGAAGCAATATTAACGGCAATAAATATTGCAATGAATATTATTATAAGTGCAAATGTGTGCTTAAATTTAAATTTAACGTGAGACATATTGAATCAATAAATATTTTTTTTGTATATTTTTTTGGTTGGTTTCATGAAATATATTTTCTTATAAAAGATTATTCTTCAGATATCAATAAATTCTAGAAATAGTTTTTTTTTTTTTTTTTTTTTTTTTTT